TTTTTCTTTTCATCTTCATCACTACTGGATTCATCCGACAGAATTTCAAGGCATTTGTTTTGCTTTGCCTTCCTTGCCATTCCAGAACTGTTCCTTTCCTTTTTACTGCCTTTGCTAGAAGTTTTTTTAGATTTTGGCAATGGTTTGCCTGATGGTTTTGGATGCATTAAAAAAATTCAAGATCCTCTTCACTATTTATCTGATCTCTCCAAATCAAGAACTTTACACATACTCATTAACGTGGCATTTCTAAACTTTTTCAGCATTTCTTCCTTTTTCTTATGCTGTATGCTTCCTTTTTCAAATGGAAAGCCACTAAACTGACCCACATTCTTCTTTAATGAAGACACTGTGCCAGGTCTGTTGTAAAGCAGTTTATGTAAATTTCTTAATTCATCTGGTTTTTTTTCTTACTTAGAAAGAAATGTATCCTTTCAATTTCACAAAGTTTCTGTCCTTTTCCTTGTGCAATCGTAAATGGTTCTCTTTGTAAAAGAAGACACTTGCATTGCCTCTCTACTTTCTTATTCTCCCTCATGCCTTCCACAATGAGACTCTTTTCTTTCACTTCCTCGTCCTCTTCGTCGTCGTCGTCGTCGTCGTCGTCGTCGTCGTCGTCGTCGTCCTCCTCCTCCTCCTCCTCCTCCTCACTGTCCTCTCACGGGTCGGGCATGTGGGGCTCCTTCTCGGACGCGGGCTGGGCCGGGGGTCCCTCCACCTCGGTGGCAGAGGCCAATGCAGGGAAGGAGGCATGCAGGCCTTGTTCATTAAGATCTAGCCAAAACCAGTTTTAATATATCAGATCCTGCTTTTAAACACAAACTATCAAATCTTCAGCTAGTAATTATTTAACAAATTTTGGGCTAAATAGAAAATAAAGACCTCCATATTTTAGAAAAGATTTCCAATATCCCATAATCTACATTGTACACATAACAAAACTGGTGGAGACCTGAAAATTTAACTTTGTAAAGTCTGGTGCAAATGGCTTTCTACTGCAGTCCACAGGGAAATACAAACTATTAAAAAGAAAAAGAAAAAAATTGATGCAAATCATTGTTCTAAGAGGTTATGGATTATTTTATCTCATGTCATGGATGTGAAATTCATTCTGTGCCCTGATACATTTCATTTCTTATTCCTCGCCATTCAAACTTTATAGACATATACATTGTGTATCAGTTTTCCAGATCAGGAAATTCGTAAAGTGGCTGTTCAACAACTGGACCACCTCTTGAACGATGAACTATTGGAGTATCTCCCCCAGCTTGTTCAGGTAAGAACTTCAAGGTTGCCAAGGGATTCCTGGAATGAACCAGTGATTCTCTTTAAGTTCCCAATGAATCAACAACAGACTCCTTCAAAGAGGTATTTTGGCCAGGCAAAGAACTAAATTATAGCTTTTATGTCAAAGTGAAGGATACAAGCATTCCCTAGTATAAAGTGATGTATTAACAAAAGTCCAAAAGGAGAAACTTTTAAGACTATCTACTTACTAATTAGACCAGAATAAAAACCAAGAATGTGTGTTGTAAAATCTTTGTGATTGTATATGTAAGACATTAACCAAAGAAAGGTTATGTAGAAGTAATTGTTTGCTATACGGCTCCCATATTACAGTTTCTTATCTTTCCAAGAGTGAACTCTAAAATTGATTATAAATCTTTTAAAAGTAATTCTAATACCCAAATTCTGCTGCCAACTAGTACATTTTAATGACCTTGAATATTACACTATTGGAATAATTTTAGAAAAGACTATGAAGTTAATGAGTAATATGAATTACAACAAACATAATCTGAATGCAATGAAAGATTAACAATTAAAATACACATGTCAAACAGGGAACATATAAAAGACTGAATACTAAGCTACAATGATAATAACCTTTTCTCTAGGCTGGGCCAAAGGATTTTTAAAATATTGATCTTTGTGCTTCATTTTTTGTTTTCTAAACTCAGATATTTTCTTATATAAAACGTTTGAAGCTATTTAAAGCACCAAATGCCTCAGATTTTGACCATTGGTAGATAGAAGAGGGTAAAAGTAGTGGGGAAGAACCTCTTAATAAAATCTAGTACCATTGTAGTTTGCACACACAGCATGAATTTCTTTGAAGATTTTCGAAAGGAGGGAGTGATGGTGCAAATCTAGCTGTACCCTAGCTATTTTACCGATCCTCATCACAACAACTTCCTTCAACTTGGCAGAATAGTATCATAAGGGGGAAAAAAATGGGATTTGTAGAACCGCTCTTTAGGTCGTGGCCCACACACGGTATGAGCAGCATACAGTATCTGCTTCATAAGAGTACATTTTTAACAAAAGTCTATATGATCTCATTTGAAATTCCAGAGTCAGTACACTTGGCACCAGGAATAATTAGGAGAGCCCTACTCCTGCAAGTCCAAATACATAAGCAAGTGCCCAGAATGCAGCCTAGCACATACACAGGAGGTAAAATTAAATAAAGCTGCAAATAAGTGAACTAAAAGTAAGGATATCAAACATGTTCTCAGATGGGAAGAAATGCACAATGTCATTAGAGAATAAATAAAAACTGGAAAGACTTTAGAAACACTTTTTTACAGTTTGCAGTAAGACTTTCAGGCTCCACCCTGAACTTAAGGCTTTCTAACACATAAAATTCTACCATGTTTATTATTTTGTGGAATCATTGTTGTTGTTATAGTATCAACCACAGGTTGTAACTCTGCAGGTAGAATCCAGGTACACAGTGGACAATGACATGATGTACACACAAAAATTGGCTGCCTACTACCGCATGAGGTGAGATTTAGTGGAAGGTGGCACCAGAGTAAAACAAGGAGTTTTAGGCCAGGAAGGCAACTCAAGAGCAATAGTTGCTAAGTTAGACAAAAATAATGGAAAGAGACCAAGCAATACCATTATGGAAGTAAATTTTCAGATATGTCCTGCTCATGTATCTGTGTTATTTAAGAGCTGATCAAAAATGATGTGATTATGTTTTGAGTTTATTACAATAAAAGACATATTGCTGCTAGTCCCCCTAAACATCCTCCCCTGCTTCATCCTTGGAACTTTTTAAAAATTTATTATTTTTAATTTTTAATTAATTTTAATGAGAAAGAAACAGCAATGAGGCAGTTCCAAAACAGGTTAGTAGGACAGTTACAATAATTAATACATTGCATATTGTTGTCTTCATAGTAGTTATTCAGAGTACAAGGTACAGACATGATACCTTGTCTAAACAGTTAGTACAAATCTTCCTTCTCATTGAACTAAAAGAAAGTAGCTATATATCTATCCTGTTTTGTATATACATACATATATATTTTTTTTATTTTCACCACAAAATGACAAAACAAAGGGAAAAGGGGCATTCTTGCCACTTTTTCAAGCAGTGTGGAAGTCCTCTTTCCAGAGTCTTTACAAGGTAGGTAGGATAAGCAATAGGGTGAACACTGCCACTGAGCTCCATCCAGTGGAAAGGTAGGCTCACAAAAGCACTCTGGAGTGTCTTATCTACCTTTCTCACCTGATCCAGCACTTTGGACTTACAGTTCTTCCCCAAATCAACGTGACCATGAAAGGTAAATGTCTTGAATTGATTCAGGACATTGATGCAGTCATCACAGCACAAGTAAAGACAGTTACCGAAGAGGACTCTGGGAACTGCTCCAGCAAGGAGCAGAAGCTATGGGTTAAGTGTATTCACAGTGAGGGGGACAAATGATAACACAGTTTTGCTGTAATAACTTTCTAAAATTTTAAACATTTGTTGTATTTTTTTAGCCCCATCTCATGAATTCACAAATAGGACATAAACAAAACTCAGGAACTAGTCAGCTCAGCACTAACCAGTATGGAAAGGTGCTTGCGGCCACAGCTTGACACAGTCCACATTAAGGCCTCTGTACACCCTGTCAGTACTTAGGCCCATATGCAGCTCATGAAGCCATGGCCAGCCTTCTCACACCTCAGGAATTCAGAAGCTTTTCCATCATTGAGGATGGTGAGCGTCTTGAGGTGTTTTTTTCAGGTGTGTGTAAACGAAGAGACTACCCAGATTTCCCCTTATCTCTGTACTGTGATATTAAAAATATGGCTTATGCTCTGTGTGTGGTGTGTGTGTGTGTGTGTGTGTGTGTGTGTGTGTGTGTGAAATAGAGAGACAGAGATAGAGCAAGAGACAGAGACAGACATGCAAACAGATAAACAGAGAAAGAGACAGATGCAAGGTAATTAGATTCCAGTTTAAAATTACCTAATATGTGATGAGCCTCTTACTGAAATCTGAGTGCCATTTTCCTTCGCTTCCCCTCAAGCCTCTTTAGCTCTACATTCTTCTATGATTTTTGACCCCGAGAGAAGAAAAACATTTAAAATTATTATTCTTCACCACAGGCAGTCAAGTTTGAGTGGAGCCTTCAGGGCCCTTTGGTGGAACTTCTCCTGCAGCGCTCCCTGCAGAGCATCCAGGTGGCCCACCGCCTTTACTGGTGAGTTCTGTCAATAAGAGGTGAGAAGGCCTTGGTCAGTGCCAACTTCCTCAGGCAGCAACGGTAAAAGAAGTGGGAAATTCTTTCACCTTGTGACGGATACCTTTACTCAAAGTGCAGTCATTTTGAGGGTTTATCAAAAGTGTTTTTATTTATAAGTTCGCTCTCCTCATTTTCAGAATCTTCCTTTTAGAACATTGCTACAGTTAAACACTTGGGTGATCCACTCAAAATTCTAGTCTGCCTGCCACTTTTAAAAAAATGTATTTGGTACAGGATCTCACTACGCAGCTCAGACTCATAGTGATCCTCCTGTTTTCAGCCTCTTCAGTGCTGGAATTACAGGTGACATGTGCTACCATGCCCAGTCTTGGAGGCTAGCTCAGCATGCCTGAGGCTGGGGCAAGTGCAGCATGTGGTGCTAGCGATTGAATCCTGGTCCCTGCGCTTGCCTAAGCAGGTGCTTAGTCTGCTGAGCTATCCTGCTGGCCTACGTGCTACTTTCCTATAGCTTTAACTTACCAATGCTATGTGTGCTCGTATTAATTCACTGAAGGCTTTGATATAAAATCTAACTGTAAGACACAATGTTTTGAAAGAATGTTTATTTTCAAGTACTTTATGTACAATATTTGAAAATTTCTAAAACACTAAACTTTTCCCAACTATGGACTTAGAATATTACTGGAGAAACACCAATTACTTAAGAGATATCAGAATTTATCCCACTGTCACCTACTCTGGCTTATATGAAACATAATGTTATTTGTGTTTTGTTTTCCTACTTTTTTCATTACCTACCTCAGAAATGGAATTTCATGGCAAAAAGCTTTCACAATTACCTGTGTCAATAATCTATTGATAAAAATAGGCTTTTCTCTTATCTTTGTGGCTACATGACAGCCACCACTTACTTGATTCAACTTCGATTACTAGGAGCACAGCAAGTCAGCATTACTTTGGAGAGTCATGTTTTTCTGATTCAAGAAATGTTATTCACATTGCTATAACTCTTCCCTTGAAAGTAAGTCAAGGATTTCACAGCAAACAGACACAGAGACTCGACAAGGACTTGATACTTGCCTTATATTTGACTTGATACTCATGATTGGAAATTTCTAGTTTAAGAAGCAGAGTATTTCCTCTAGGGTGATACTCTAAGAAGGAATCGGACACATTGGGTGGTGACGGGCCCTTCACTGAATGGACTCTTGTCAAAGCTCTCCGCAACTTGTACTCCACAGTTTCTCAGTCAGCTACCACGTGCTATGCAGAAAGCTAAATAATACACTTTATGATATTGCATCTTACTTAGCCAAAATTCTATTCAACTCAATGCTTACTTCCTTAAAATTTAACTTTTGTATGCATTATTAAAATAAAGCATATGTAAATGTAACATAATAACAAGTTCAATATATGAACTAACATAAAAATGTATGAAGTAAAAAAAGATGATGTGTTAAAGGATGTATTGAAAATCAAAATGCAGTATTTAAGACCTTACTCTGATTTGTGGTTGTTATAATGCATACACCACCTGAGTAAATTTTTCATCTGCTAAACTGGTGTGAAAAGTAGAGTCATTTGAAAGACAATAAGGAATGCAAGGCTGTAAGTCAGTGTCATATTTGTAAATTCACATAAACACAATTATGTCACTGTTGCCTCAGGAGTTGGGAGGAAAGCTTTTCTCACTCTTATGAAAGAAATCAGTAATGAATCCCACTTATCTCTTCACTAGTTTAAGAAATAAGATGACAGTTGCAAAAAGAATATGGTACATTAAAAAATTAAAAAATTAAAAGAATATGGGACAAGGAGATAGCTCAGTGGAATAAGTGTTTACCTGGGAAGTAAAAGGAAGTAAAAGTTTGATCCCTGGTATCACCAAAAAAAAAAAAAAAAAAAAAGGAATAGAAGTTACAAAGTTACAAATGAGATGCTTGTTGTAAGAGCCAAATCTATAAGAACATTAAAAAAAAGGAAAAACCAGTTGAGAGATTTTAAAATAAAAATTAAGAATCAGAGGGCTGGCCAAATAGCTCAGTGGATTAAAGCACCTACTTAGGCAGATGCAAGAGTCAGGATTTTGATCCCCAGGGCCGGCCTTGCTGGCCCAGCCCCTGGGGTGTGTTGAGACTGAGATTAAGACTGGGCGTGGTGGCATGCCCCTGTAATCCCAGCACTTGGGAGGCTGTAAACAATAGGATCACTAGGAGTTCAATCTTTGCAGTGACACCCTGTATAACCTGTCCTAAATACAAAAAAAGAAAAGATTAAGACTCAGATAATATACACAAAATAATAATGTTCATATTAAAACACATTATGTGGTAGAAATTGCCAAGCCCTAACATCATATGTAAGGAGGATTTTGTGTAGGATATTTGAACTAAAACTTTTTTTAAAAAAATTAAACTTTAGCCCTTTTAAAAGAGCAAGGCCTTGTTTTTTAAAAAGACAGAAACTCATCAGCCATCAGTTTAATGAGATTTTCACTTGCATGAACTACAGCCTCTTCAGAATCAATGTCTTTATTCAACACTGAATTCAGTGTCTTGCCCTGCTCACCTAGAGCTTTGTCTCTCTGAGAGTCTGTGTTCCTAAGCTTAGGGTTTCAGAAGCTCTTCACTTTTTCCCACTAACATGGCCAACTCTTTGGCCCGCTCTGTAGCATCCTAAACTATCCCTTTACTCCACTACTTCCAGCTACTGTTATCACTGACTAATGGAGTGATTCACCAAATATTGAATAAGTAGGCTGGAATGACTCCATCTTGACCATTTTGCTTTACTGTCCATAACATTTCTTGGAGGAAAATTGACCTGTGATTATTTTGAGTCTCCTTCATGGGAAGGTTCAATGGAGGGTGAGTAGCCCCTAATTTTAAGAAAAAGTTAGAGCCTAAGAAAAAGTTAGCCCCTAATTTTAAGAAAAATCTAAACCCAGCTTCAGATTTTAAGCTGAAGAGCTTTAACCCCAAAATTTGCACCATAGAAGATGGTTTTACATGGAAACAATAATATTTTGGGTTTTGAGTTAGGGGGTCCCAAACCTATACAATTACAGTTAATTGTAGAAGCTGAAACCCAGTGCCTTTGTCATTTTGGGTTTTGTTTTCTTTTGTTTTTGTATTTAGTACAGGATCTACAGGGTCTCACTATGTAGATCCGACTCATAGTGATTCTCTTCTATCAGCCTCCCAAGCGCTGGGATTACAGGTGCAGGCCGCCACATCCAACTTCAATCACCCCTCCATGCGCCCTGGGGGCGGGGCCAGCAAGGCACAGGGGGATCTAAACAAGACTGTTGTGCTGTGCCTAAACAGGTGCTTTAGTCCATGGCACTATCTGGCCGGCCCACCTCTGTCACTCTGACCCAGAAATAATTTAATAGGTAATGGGATAATGGAATATCATCTCCCAAACAATATTCCACACCTTAAACCCAGGAAATTACAAATTACATTATGGAAAAGGATCTTTGACAAGGAAATTGGTACAAGTTTTTTGGTTGAGAGCACCCCAGAATATGAGGATGGGACCTACAGTCGGGGACAAGTGACCTTCTGAGGCTAAAGCAAAAGATGCTATGGAAAGATGGGGGAATTGATGGTCTGCCTGCAGCCCCAGACCCTTGAAAACCTGGAGACAACCAAAGCTGGGAGAGGTTCCCCTAGATCCCTGGAGGGAGGAAGGACTGACCAACATGGCGACTTCAGAATTCTAGCTTACAGAGTTGTGAGAATGTCTTTGTGCTGTTGAAGCCATCAATTTGTGACAAATTATGTCCCACAGGAAGGATTTTTTTTGGTTAATTTTATTGAGAAAGAAATTGCAATGAGACAGTTTCAAAACAAGTTGTTAAGACAGTTACAATAAGTAATACATTGCATATTGTTGTCTTCATAGTAGTTATTCATAGTACAAGATGCAGACATGATATCTTGTTTAACCACTATTAGTACAAATCTTTCTTCTCATTGAACTAAGAGAAAGTAGCTGTGTTGACAAAAGATCTACAAACAGGAAGGATTTTGTGAAGGGCCTTACCTTAGGACCGACCGGTGCTGCAGTCACATTTCCATGATGAGGACAATGTAACAATCACCCACAACTTAAAAGATGAGTGGTTTATTTGGGTTCACAGTTTCAGACCATGGTCTACTGATTCTAAGATAGAAACAGGATGGCAGAAGGCTGTGACAGAGCAAAGGGCATTCACTCCATGGCAACCAGGAAGCAGAGAAAGGAGGGAGGACAAGAATGCACCCTTCTGAATGCCAGCTATCCAGTGGCCCACCTCCAGCCAGGCTCTGCCTCCCCATCACGCATTCAGTTCCGCGACTCCTGAACACATCAGTGCCTGAACCGGCTGATGCCCATAGTGCTCCCATGATCCAAGCACCTTCCAAACACATGAGATATTTGGAGGGCATTTTAGATCTAACTACCAGGACATACTGTCATCCAGAAAGCTTTCTCTGACTCTCCTCAGCAAGCCCTGGGATTGAAAACTACTCCAACATTGTACACCATGACATTCTACCTGTGATTCTGCCAGGCGCTGTCTCATACTTCCTCTGCCCATCTAGCAGCCTGTGCATTTCATTTTCTGGTCACATAGTAGCTAACAATCCAAACCATGCCATATCAATCCCCATGGTTTCTAAACCCAATATTAACTCCAATTTTTTAAAGTTAAGAGGTCATAGAAATCTGTTCACACATCAACAGTTCCAAGGAATCTGAATTTACTGCCTTGCCTGAGTCTCTGTGAAAATCCAGTGCCATAACCCAATGTAGTTACCTGCCTGCTACATCCATCCCCAGCTTCCACACTGACTGCCAATCCATTTCTGTCCCTTCTCTGGAGATTGTCCCCTGGCCACATAGCTACCTGGCCTGCCAGCTGGGAAATCACCGAGCTTTACATTCCAGAGTTTCGCCATGGGTGGGATCGAGGCTAAGACTTGACCTCAGACTTTGCCTTATTA